ACGTCGTAAGATAAATATACTATGATATTTTTAATTAATTAAACAGAAAATCACTGAAAAAGAACTGGTTAATTTAACTAATCATTAGGTTAAATCTCTTGGAGATACTGTTGGCTGCACAATTACTATCCATCATCTTCAATTAGTAGCGGATGATTGGGCAGGAAAATGCCATAATTTTTGTAAACCAGTTGCAAAATATCCTCATGATCGCCAAGCATTACGTGATGTGATTCTTGAAGGTAAGAATGTTGAAATTTTTTAAAAAAATATCATTACAAACATTTTAAAAAATAACTTTCTCACACAGGTCATCCAAGATTTTTCTTGGGAACAGATTCAGCGCCACATCCAGCTCATTTGAAAGAATGTGCTCAATCATGTGCAGGTGTATTTACAACACCTTTGGCTTTAGCTTATCTTGCAACAATATTAGATTCATTTGGTGCAATTCCAAGATTAAATGATTTTGCATGTGAAAATGGCAAGAAATTTTATGGTATCGAACATAACGATAAACTTTTGAAAACTAAATTAATCAAGGCATCCGTAAAAGTTCCAGAAAAATATTCATATCTAGATCAAAACTTGAATGAACAATTTGTTGTTCCTTTTATGGCGGGCGAAACTTTAACTTGGAAATTTGCAAATTGATATATTAATATTTATTAATAATTCAATGGCTTTGTCAGACCTATTATATCTTTGTTATTGAATTTTAGTTAGATTTTTTGAGCACTCTTTCCAAATTTGGGTCTTGAACTTGTATGACGTTTTTTATAAATAGTAATTGATAACACAAAAAAATTTTATTATCTTGGTGGTATTGTCTTTTTTATTCCTTATATTACCTTTTTTTTAAAAATAAAAAAAACTTATCAATTAAAAAAATCAAGTTCAAGAACCTATTTGAAAAAAAAAGTAATAATGTCTCAAGGATACCCACCACCACCAAACCCTCAACAGTATGGTGGATACATACCAAGACCTCTTCAAGAACCTCCACTTTATCCTCCAAGTATACCAACTTCAAATTTTTCTGACCCTGCCACACTACCCTTATTAGTTCAATCAAATGCCAGCAATACTAATTTTGAGGAAGAAAAAACTCCACTTCATTATGGTGAAGCTCCTGTAAGACAACCACGTCGTTTTAAAACTACTAAAAGAGTTGATTTATTTCGAGGAAAAGTGGTTCTTGATTGTCCAGTTCCAACGAAACTTTTATCCGAGGTTCAAAGAAAAAATGATGGAGAATTTTCATTAATGAGATATACACCTTGTACTTGTGATCCCAACGATTTTCAAAATGAAGGTTATACACTTCGTCAACAACTTTATGACCCACCAAGACAAACAGAGTTATTTATTGTACTCACTATGTATAATGTATGTAAAAATTAATTTTTTTATAGTCACACATATTTTTTAACATAAGTTTTGTCGTTGATTAATTGATTCAATTAATTCAATAATGTATATATATTTTTTTATATTTTTTTTAATAGGAAGATGAAGTACTTTTTGCACGTACATTCCATGGAGTTGAAAAAAATATAAATCATTTATGTACTCGTGGACGCTCTCGTACATGGGGAAAAGACGGATGGAAAAAAGTTGTTGTTTGTATTGTGTCTGATGGTCGTACTAAGATAAATCATCGAACTTTATCTTATTTGGCGGCATTAGGTGTTTATCAGGAGGGAGTGGCTAAGAACCAGATCAATGGCAAAGAAGTAACTGCTCATCTTTATGAGTATACCACACAACTTTCTATTGGATCTGATATGAAATTTAAGAAGAGAGATGAGAGCTCAGTTCCTATTCAAGTCCTTTTTTGCTTGAAGGAAAAAAATGCAAAAAAAATCAATTCTCATCGCTGGTTTTTCAATGCATTCGGTAGAATATTAGATCCACAAGTATGTGTTTTAATTGATGTTGGTACAAAACCTGGTAGCACGTCTATTTATCATTTGTGGAAAGCTTTCGACATCAATCCTAATCTTGGTGGTGCATGTGGCGAAATTAAGGCTATGACAGGCAATGCAGGAGTTAACTTATTAAATCCATTGGTTGCATCACAAAATTTTGAATACAAGATGTCAAATATTTTGGATAAACCACTTGAGTCAGTATTTGGTTATATTACTGTATTACCTGGTGCATTTTCTGCATATCGCTACCGTGCTCTTCAGAATGATAAAAATCAAGTAGGTCCTTTGAAATCATATTTTTTGGGCGAATCTCAACATGGGGGTGATGCAGATATCTTTACGGCCAATATGTATCTTGCTGAAGATCGTATTTTGTGTTTTGAATTAGTTGCAAAAAGAGATGATGCCTGGTTATTGCAATATATAAAGTCAGCTTATGCTGAAACAGATGTACCTGATACAGTAGCTGAATTGATTTCTCAAAGACGCCGTTGGTTGAATGGTTCTTTCTTTGCTGGAGTGTATGCTATATGTCATACTTTTGCAATATGGAGAAGTGGTCACTCTAAATTTAGAAAAATATTGTTGCATATTGAAATGTTTTATCAAGCATATAATTTAATGTTCTCTTGGTTGGGATTGGTAAAAAATTATACATCTTATTTATACTATATATATATTTATATATTTATTATTAAATTATTATTTTGATTATTATTTTGATTATAATTTTGTAGGGTAATTTTTATTTAACCTTTTACATTTTGGGTAATTCCCTTACGGATGATGAAGTTATTGAAGGTTTATGGTCTAAAACTGCTGGCGACATTATATTTAATATATTACGATACGTATATTTAACGCTTCTTATAATACAATTTATATTAGCTATGGGTAATAGACCTCAAGGGTATATATCACAATAATTATTTCTTATTAATAAATATTTAATTAATTTTTAATTCATCTTAACTAATCTTTTATTATTCTTTTTAAAAAAAAAAGATCTAAATGGGCTTATATTGCATCGATATCATTTTTTTCCGGACTTATGGTTTATATGTTATTTGCAGCGGGATGGTTAACATATAAAGGGGTTGCAGCGCAAATACAAAAATTAAATAATGATGTAGCAGATCCAGGTGCTAATGTTTCAACAGCTGGTGCTATTCTTGGAAATTCAACATTTAAAAATATTATTCTTTCAGTTATTTCTACTTATGGATTATATTTCACTGCCAGTTTCTTGTTTTTTGAACCTTGGCATATGTTTAATAGTTTGATTCAATATTTATTATTGGTTCCATTCTATATCAACATTTTGAATGTTTATGCTTTTTGTAATGTACATGATGTTAGGTAAGGTTCCTTAACCATCTATATAACTCCTTCATATAATACTTTATAATAGTGATAATATTAAATATTATTACTATTTTATTTTTTAGTTGGGGAACTAAAGGAGATAATGCAGTGGTAAAACATGATTTAGGTTCTGTAACAACAACTCCAGATAATAATACAGTCGAGGTTGAAGTCCCTGTTGAAGCAAAAGACATAAATTCATTATATCAAGAAGCGGTTGAAGAATTACAACGTCATCATGAAGAACCGGTTAAAAAACGGTCAGCTTCAGACAAGCAAGATGATTATTATAAATCTTTCCGTACACGCGTTGTATTGCTTTGGATCCTATCCAACGGTGCTATGGTTGCAATTATTACAAATGCTAGTAGCACTTTAAATTCAATTTCTACTTCAACAGACAGAGCAAACAGTTATATGGCATTTGTGCTTTGGTCAGTTGCTGGATTGGCAGCTTTTAGATTTATGGGAAGTTGTACATATTTGCTCTTTAGACTATTCACTGGTTAAAATTTTTGTGGGTAATTTCCGTTGGTGTGATTTAATAAATATTTATATTTTTGATTATTCAAATTCATTTATTTATTTATTAGAATGTGTATATATAGTTTTATTTATTTATTTAATAATGAATATTTTCTTCTTGTAACATTGGTAAAAAATAAAATAATTATATTTCTAAATAAATGAATAAAGATTTAATAGAAAACAGAGAAAATGATTACCAACTTTTTACAAAAATTTGTTATTTACTATCTAAAATATGTTTTGTTGGTGAGTATTTAATTTTCAGATGACGATAGTGATGATGGTGCTGGTGTTGAACATTTGAAACAGTTTGATCGACTTTGGAAATTATAAAAATCGCATTTTGGACATAACCAATCTCCCTCTGCTACATCACGTTTGACAGGTCTATTTCCACATTGACGACAATCACTTCGATAAGAAAAGTTTTGATATTTACAAACATCACAAACCCAATCACCTGGGCGTTTCTCAGGATAACGCGGAGTTCCTCTATCATCATAACTATCACCAAATCTGTTCCTTCTAATCATTTTATTCTTTGGTTTTTTTGATCAAAGTATTAGTAAATGGATGGACGAATGAATGACATATAATAAAATCAATTTAATAAAACCCATAAAATTTTCTCTCTTTTACATACCATTATAACCATTGAAATAATTTTATTATGATGATTATTATTGTTCATAATTAAAGAAGGAATATTAGATGATTTGGTTATGTAATTAGAAGAAAAATTACGAGCTATCAAAGCTCTCTGATCAAAAATTCTTCTTTGAATATTTCTAAACATTTTTTTTTTCAAATTTGATAATCGAAAAAAATTTGATCATTATATTTAATATCGTGCACATTATTTTTAAAGTATTACCTCGTGACCTTTGTTTACATACATTGGTTTGTGCGTGCGTATTTAGAAACTACATTTTTCATTTTTTCATTTTGATAAATTCGAGTTTTGTTAGCCAAAGTTATTATTAATTAGTCTTCTTTTTTTTTCTTCAAAGTCCCCAATCACCATTATCATTAATTATTATCAATTCAAAAAATTCAAGCAATTTTTTTTATTTAAAATTATCACTACACATTACCTACTCATTATTTGATATAACATATATTTATATACTGCTATTTATTCTGATTTAAAAATAAAAAGGTTGTAATTTAAAAATGACTACTGTAAATAGATCCCATCAACAAAGCGTAGGAAACTATATAGTTGGCAACGAAATTGGGAGAGGATCTTTTGCAACAGTTTATAAGGGGTATCATAAGGTAGGAAAACAAGAATTGTTAATTTAAAATTTATTCTCTTAATTTACTTCTAAAAAACACTTCACAAAAACAAATTATATATAAATATATTTCTATTCATATAATATACTTTAGTAAATTACTTTTTCTTTTATTTATATATAAATATATATCTTTATAAAGTTTCACGTGTCACCTTAGTTACAAATTTTTCCTTTTATTTACATTTTTTTTAATATACACAGAAAACGAAAGAAAATGTAGCAATTAAATCTGTATCAAGATCAAAATTGACAAAAAAATTACTTGAAAACTTAGAATCAGAAATAAAAATTCTCAAACGAATTCAACATGATCACATAGTTCAATTAGTTGATTGTGAAGTAAGTCATTTAATTTTTTTATATAAATAAAAGTTATAAATATATATATATCTCAAGTTATTTATTTTCATAAATTAGAAATCTGAGAGTCACATACATTTAATTATGGAATATTGTACTATGGGTGATTTATCGCAATATATAAAGCAAAGAGGAGCAAATAACCACTCATCATCAAAGGGTCCATCTGTTGGGCTAAGTGAATACGTTGTCCGTCATTTTTTAAAACAATTAGGTACAAAGAGAATATAAATTAATAATTAATTAATTCTCTTTTAAGTTAAAAAAATGTATAATTTAATGTTGTAAAAAAAAACTTTAATCATTTTTTAAAAACAAAGTATTATAATTTTCTTTTAGCGAATGCATTGGAATTCTTACGATCACAAAATTTAATACATCGTGATATAAAACCTCAGGTATGTATATATATAATTATTATTTAATAATATAAGTTTAGACTTATTAAAATGAATTTCTTTTTTCTTTTTGCTTTGAGTAGAATCTTTTATTGGTAGAACCTAAACAGAAAAATTACGGATCTGTGGTCGGGTCACCGGATTTACCAATTTTAAAGATAGCAGATTTTGGATTTGCGCGTTCATTGCCGTCTTCATCTTTAGCAGAGACATTATGTGGCTCACCACTTTATATGGCACCAGAAATATTAAGATATGAAAAATATGACGCAAAAGCAGATTTGTGGAGTGTAGGAGCTGTAATTTATGAAATAAGTGTTGGCAAACCGCCGTTTAGAGCTCAAAATCATGTTGAGTTATTGAAAAGAATCGAAAAAGGTGGCGATAAAATAAAGTTTCCTAGTAAAAATCCTGGAGTGGCGATCCATTCAGCAAATACTCACGATGACAATTTGCCTGCCACCTCACCTACTAATTCGACTTCTCTAATTAGTGAAGAACTTAAAGATTTAATAAGACATTTGTTGAAACGTAATCCTGTAGAACGTATTTCTTTTGAAGAATTTTTTATGCACCCTTGTGTTGTAGGTGATTTAATACCTCAACCATTGACAAATTCATTTGATCCAAAAGAGAAACCAGGCGATAATTTGAAACCTAATAGGATCACAAATACGCCATCAACAAACAATTACTACGCATCAAACCAATCACAAAAGAACTCGTTTAAAGATAACAGTAATAATGCTAAATATCAACAAATTTTACAAAGGTAAAAATAAAAATTTTCAAGTTGTTATAATTAATTTCTAAATCATTATCATTATCATCATTAATTAAACTTCCATATATTGTTTTTTTAATATAAAAAGGTCTCCTAAATCCCCAAACATAGATAAAATGTTTGAACGATCAAAGGACAACAACAACAATAATAATGAATTTCTTCAAGTCAACAACGAAGTTCAGCCTTCCTATGATAATCGATCTCCATCACCTTCATTATTAGTGCAAACACCTTACCCACAGGATGAACTTGTAAAAAGGCAAAACACTGATGCTGAAAACTTTGAACATTCAAATAGATCAAATAGTGCCGAAGATGATGTTCAATTTGCGAGGGAATATGTTTTGATTGAGAAACGTGCAGTCGAGGTTAATAAATTGGCTGATGGTATGCTTGTAACTAAATAGTAATTAATATAGTGATAGTATTACATTAATATTATAATATGTTTGTTTAAGCTAATGAAAAAAAAAATTTTTATTTTTTAGATCTTGCTGTAATACCCAAATCGAATGGAAGTTCACAGCGACCTTTTCATAAAGGTACAGCCTTTGCGTTTTCAGATGCCTTGCCCTCAAAACCCCTTGATTTTCCATATAAGACTTCACCAAATCAAAATTCTTTCTTTTATTCGACAACACCACCTTTTGCTATACCACAATCCAGTCAAGACAAAAGTAGCCCTGTTGGAAGTATAGGTAGTAGTGCATCTTCGGCTCTTGCTAGAGCTTTAAATGTTGCATCAGTTCGTTTATTTGGTACTGGTAATTCACCGCCATCTTGGAGTGATAAATATTCAAAACAAAAAGGCAATTCTGCTTTACTTACAAATGACGTTATACTTGATCCCGAGGAAGTAAGGAAAAATAAATAAAACTATTAATTATTATTATGCTTCTTAAATGATAACCTATCTTCATCAATTATCTTTAATTATTTTTTATTAGGAAGCAGTAATTAAAGCAATAGAGGAGTATGCTCAAAAGGCACATTTTGTTCATCAATTTGCTGATTCAAAAATTAATCAACTCTTACCACCACCACCTACTAGCAGCAATGAATTAGCATATAATTCACCACCCACGCCTCAAGCTGCTATTACTTTGGCTGAAGAAGCATTTGTTCTATATGTTAAAGCACTTTCAATATTACAAGCAGCAATTGTTTGTGCAAAAGATTATTTATCAAAATCAAATGAAAAAGAAGATTTATTTAAAAAAAATGCACATCCTAAATTAAATACCGGTATTATTATTATCTTTTTAATGTTTATTTATAAATATTTAATAATTAGATTTCAAAAATAATTTTATGAATATATATATATGTAATTATAATTTTAGCTGTGCAATGGGTTCGTGCAAGATTCAATGAATGTTTGGAAAAGGCTGAGTATGCAGAATCTAGATTCCTCGCAAATGGAGAAATGACGACCGAGGTTGTTGTAGAGAAGTTGCTTTATGATAAAGCATTAGAAATGGTAAATCAAGATTTAAAATTAATATTTTTATTACTATTATTGTTATAGATTATTATAAAAAAAATACTAAATGATTTTTTTGAATAGAGTCGTCATGCAGCTGTCAATGAATTGATTAATGAAGATTTGTTAGGATGTGAAAAGGCATACAAAACATCTATTCATATGTTAAATGCTATATTAGAAGGTTCCCCTGATGAAGTAGGAATGGGAGACGATGATAAAAAAGTGATAAATAAATGTAAATTTTTTTTCCCTTTTTTTTTTTTAATTTTGATTTTTCAAATTAAATTAATTTCATCTTAAAATATTAAAAAAATCAATAGTTATTAAATCAATCAATAAAAGACTTAACTCTTTACAAAAAAAATTGGCTCAATCAGATAACAATCTATCGTTGGCAGCATAATGGATGTACTTTTTTTATAACAAATATATATATATATTATTTATATATTTTAACCTATTTTCTTTAGTTTTCAACTTTAAGATCAATTTAGATATTTACAGAATGACTTTTTATAATATGGCAGTGTGGAAGGAAATTGAGTGCGAGATTTGTGTTACATTAAAGGTAGCCAATAATTTATAATTTATTAAGTTTTGTGCAGAAAATTCCATGCAACAAAGTTATTTTTATATCTACTATATTATTAATAAAGATTTTTTTAGTGATTAATATAATGTGCGCGTTTATTATGTAACACAAACTCGCACTCAATTTCCTATATACTTACACTGTAATCGATCGATCGATTGTTACAATGCGACGATCCTATGTAACTTATAATTTTAAAATGAATTCATATATGTAAAGCTACGTTTTAAATAGACAAAAAAATTACATACAATAAAATAAATCGTGTAATTATGTGTAAAATAGAAAAAAAAATTTCTACTTTTGGAATAATTTTCCTGGACTTTTTTACTAAGAAATTGAAATAGTAACTTTCACTTATCAAAGAAATATTTTTTCCTGTTATGATTATCAATCAAATCAAACATATAATATTGTTTAAACTTATTTCATCTCATTGCAGTTGTAAAGTTAGGTGTTTATTTCAGGGTTGTGCAATTTTCGCTGTACGACTGACTTCGTACCATTGAGTTCGTTGGGGTCGTACACCTGTACGAGGAAATTTTACATAGTATCAGGAACGATGATTTTTTGCAGTGACAAAATATTACTTTGTAAAATCCTATAATAATATTATTATTAAGCCGATAATCCTATTACTATAATTAATGGATTACCAGATGTTGTAACTGGGGTCGTAATATTATTTCATTATCAGAAAAAACCTGATTATTATGTTATATATACTTATTTAAATCCCTTGTTACTATGTAGTAGTATTATATACGTTATTATTATTGTCATTGTGCAATTTCGCTGTACGAACGTACGATGATTTTCTGTGGTGATAAATATTATTTTGTAAAGTCCTATAATAATAACAATAATATTATGCCATCAGCCCTATTTATTACGATTACTATAATTAAAGGTCGTAACAGATCGTAATACTACTTCGTTATCAGAAAAATCCTGATTATCATATTATACTTCTATTATCCTGTGGCATTATTATTATTATTAGTATTAGTATAGTAGTATTAAATATCTTCAACCATATACTGTACAGTATGTAGTTAATTCTACAATATAGTCAAACCTTGCTACAGCGGATGAAACAAATTTTATTTAAAATCCGTTGTGGCAAGATTACTAAATACTAATACTAATCTTGCCACAACGAAATTTTATATGTTTTTACATGTGATATGCAAAGAAATTTTTTTAAAAAATCTGTTATGACAAGAGTTTAATTATTATTATAGTTCGCTGTGACGAATTTAACATATATATATATCTTCCATTTTATCAACCAAATTATCAAAAATCACATGATATGTTCGTACAATGTACTAAAAAAATTACGTACGTGTACGAATCCCAGCCCTGTAAAGTTTATTTTGTATTCTTAAAAAAATTTAAATTTGAATATTCATGAGGCAATTAAATGTTGTGTAATAAATTCTAACTATTTATGCACCATTTAGGTTGACAAAATGGCCAATACCAAATGCTGACTGGCTTGAAGCAATCTGAAGCAACCATGTGAAACATATGAAACAAAATGAAGTATATGAAGCATATGAAGCAAAATGAAGCTTTAGAGATATAGTAATAGTAGATATTTTGTAGTTTAGCTAAATGCAAATGTATATGCATGTACGTTTGTACTTCGTGCTTATCTCATCCAGGGTTCTTCAGCATATGCTGGGGGAACTGACAGAGGTAAATTATTTGAATAATGCACAGCATTTTTGTGTCCAGTGAACTTGCATTAACAAGTTTGCTGGAAAAGATGCGTTTTAAAAATTTTAATTAGCATTTTTATAAAAATTAAATTATAATTATAAATATTTATAAATAAAAACAGTTTTTTTTAAAAAAGTGTTTGTGTTTGTTTATATGTATTTGTTTGTGTAAAGTGAAAAAATGGCCCAAATAGCCCATGTAAATAAAGTTAAAAAAAGATGATTGCCCATCTTTATAATTATCTATCCTGTGAACTGTAGACCTCACTATATTGTTCTAGGCCCCCAGCCTAATATATAGATGGGTGTTGATGGATTGTATAATATATAGGTTCTTGAGAAGGGTGGGTGATAAAGTGGAATGAGGAGTTGAGTAATATTGATGTACCAAAAATAACAAATGGCAGTTCTGAAATTCTTGAATTATAAATATAATGCTGCATATGTTCATCCATTCATGTATATTGATATCGATTCATTTGCTCTCATTCTTCCATTCTTTGCAGCAAATTTACTTATAGAAAGAATATCAAATAATATTGCTTTCTTCTTGCACAATATCAACATTTCAATCTTATGGAAAACCCCACTTTATGGTTGGCCCGGTTTAAAAACCACTCATTGCTGCGCCACGTGACGAAAGACAAAAATTTTTTAGTGAAATAAAGTTTGAATTGCTAGAAAACCACATTATCAATAATTATTCTAATTTTACCACCGAATTGGACTTTTCAGAGTATTTTCAATTAAACCAATTGATAGCTCTAGTTATGAATAAATAAAGCTTTATAGTCTTGGCATATTTTATTTTGGATAATTCAGCCAGCAGCTATTACACATAGTTATACAATTAACGTATTAAAAATATCCCCCTGGTAATAGTTCGTCTATTTTAACTATTCACTATATTAAGAATTAATTGTCATTGTGTAAAAAATTGGAAATTGTACAAATTGATAGATAAGAATATTTATACAACTTCATTATTATTTTTTATTTTAAAGATTTTAAAAGATGAATCATAATAATTATTATTATTATGGTAATGAATCACAAAACAATTCAAAATCAAGAAAATATAATAATAATAATAAACACAACAATAAGAACGACAATGGTATTTATAATAATGATAATTTAGAATTACAAAATCGCCAACCCTATAAAAAACCCTATCAACAACAGTGTCGTCAACGAAATATTCAAAACAGATATCAACAGCAACACCATCAACAACAACCCTATCGATCACAACATTACAAATTTAAAGTAGATTCAAGAAATTTTCATTGTTATGATGTTTATGGTGGTGGCGATGGCAATAGTGGTAAAAGAGAAGCTGAGCAACAACAATTTGAATCTAATTCATATTATAATAATAACAATAAAACTTATTCAAGAAATGATGAGAGAATGAGATACGAACACAACAGACATTATCTTTATCACTATCATAATGATAATAATAGTAATAATGAAAAAGAACTTTACTCCGATACAGTTAATTATTATGAAAATAATGATAATAATAGTACGCATTATTATAATCATCGTTTTGAAGATTATTATGACAAATATAAAGATGATAGATATGGAATTAATAATAATACTCGTCATATTAGAAAACGTAATTTAAATTTTAATAATAATAATAATAATAAAATAAATTGGTGATCAAAATTTTGAATATGGTACTAGTTACACCAACTCAAAACTTGTTACTGCTTACAATTTTTTTATATTTATAAAAATTGTTAAAGCTTTTATCTCTACCATAACAATAGTAATAAAATAATAATGCCACCACCACAAAACAACGAAGCTCAAGATAGCAATGAATTTGATAATATTTCAATGGCAGTTTTTAATTCTGCAAAAAATTATCTGTTACAAAAATTGCCAATTCAGTTATCAAAGCCAAAAGTTGCAATTATATGCGGCTCAGGTCTTGGGGGTTTAGCTGATAGTATTAGTAGTGGTAGTAATAATAATGACTATGATTCTAAGAGCAAAAAGAGACTTGATGGTGATGATGCAATCCCGAAAATTGAATTTAAATATGAAGAGATACCAGGATTTGTTAATAGTACAGGTGATTACCAATCAATATTAAAAAATTATATTTAATTAGTTAATTAAATATATATTATGTTAATGTTTTATAAATTTGTTAAACATAGTTGCTGGACATGAAGGAAAATTGGTTTTTGGGCTGATTGGGAAAATACCAGTGATTTGTATGGTTGGTAGATTTCATTTTTATGAAGGCCATGACTTGAAACAAGTCACTTTCCCCATAAGAGTTTTTAAATTGATTGGAGTAGAAACTTTAATTGGTAAGGAAATAAATATTTATATTAATTTAATTATATATTTTTTATGATTTAAGTAATAAATAAAAAATATTAATATAAAACTAATTCACTTACTCTTTCTTTCCCATTCTTTTCTCTCACGTGCATTCTTTCTTTCTAAATCTAATTAGTAACGAATGCAACAGGATCGCTCAATAGTGAGAAATTTAAAGTAGGAGACATAGGTGTAATAATTGATCATATCTCATTACCGGGACTAACAGGAACTAATCCTTTAATTGGACCTAATCTGAATATTGGCCCAAGATTTATTCCAATGTCAGATGCTTACGACTATGAATTACGTGAAAAGGCATTCAAAGCTGCCAACATATTAAATTTTTCTAAAGGATCAATAAAAGAAGTGGTCTATTGCTATGTGTGTGGTCCAACTTATGAAACAAGGGCAGAAGCAAAATTCTTAAAATTTATAGGAGGAGATGTTGTTGGTATGTCAACTGTGCCTGAAGTGATTGTTGCAAGGCATTGTGGTCTTAGAGTTTTAGGATTGAGTTTGGTAACCAACAAAGTGGCTATGAGTGATGTAAGAAGCGCTGATCCCTCAATAAAAAATGTTGGTGCCTATGATGAATTCATTGTAAATCACGAGGAAGTTCTTGAAACTGGTAAAGCTAAAGCCAAAGAAATGCAACAATTAGTAAAGAAAATTATCGAATTACTTTGAAATTACTTATTTATTATTTAATTTTTGTATATGTGAAAAATTTTTTTTTAGATGTGTATATACATACATACATACACGCACATATATATATATATTATATATATGTTCAAATAAATATATTTTTATTGATTATGAGGACAATCAGACGATAAGTTACACAACAATTTATTTATTTCGAAAACTTTTTTTTTCAAAAAAAAAAAAAAACCAATGAATACCGATTTTTTCTTTCCTTTTCGTGTTGTCGACATAGATGGCAATAACGTTAATATTAAAGAGCTTTCGAGTCACCACGTTCTAATTTTAATCACGCTGAAGGTGTGTAATGAAAAATTGTTTTCATTCACATTATTCACAAAAATTATTTATTTATTTTCATTCACATTATTCACAAAAATTATTTATTTATTTTCATATAATATTTAAAATTAATAATATGATATTTTAAAGGCGACGTGGTGTCCCGTCTGCCCTAAACTCCTACTGCTCCTGAACCTTCAGGGGCTACACGATGATCCACAACCTTCTTTTTTCGATCCTTTTGACAACTCTATAACCAGAGTGCCACAAAAAAACATACCTGTAAGTTTGAATGAAATTATACTATTATAAAAAAAAATTATTCATCAAGTTTTCTATTATGTTTATAGTTTAACCGATTGCTCCTTCGGTCTGATGCCTATTTTATTATTATCTGTCCTGGCCCTTTAGATGAGGTCAAGAAGATAAGACAAGAATGCAATTTCGATAAATATCCATATCCGTTTATCGTTGATGAGGATCTTGCTCTTGCAACTTCAATTGGACTTAGGTTAGTACATACATATACATACCATACATGTGTATTTATACATATACTTATGTGTATATATCCATAATAATTTATTCATATATTATTATTATTAAAGAATGTCCAACAATGAGATATGGCCATGCATTGGGTATATTGAACCACTTACATGTAGATTAAATCCAATATTTTTTGGACGCGGACCAGGTTTCTATGGTGACAAAGACCTGTTAAATTTTTTGAAGGAGCATCGTATCCAAGAAGAAAAAACAGCTCTTAAATCTATTCGTAGAGCCAGGGAATTACAAATGGGCCTCAGTAAATCAAGGAAAAACAATATAACCAAGAAAAAAGAATCAAAAGAACTAGAAGTATCAAAAGCACCAATTGAAGAAGAACAAAAAGAAGAATCGTTGACGATGTTAAATCAAAACCAAATTTTACCATTAGAGATACTTGGAGTTATTTTCGAGTATCTTGACTTGTTGGAGATAGTAAAGACCGTTATGGCTACATGCCAGCAATGGAGAGAAATCGGAATAAACATTATTTCCAGACGGTTAAGGTGCGAAATAGAGCGCATATCTGAATCTCTGGTCTATTTTTCTGGTACAAATCGAAAAAATAATGATGACGATGATAATGTTGAAGGTATTGTTGAAAGTATGAATTTAATAAATATCAATAGCCACAATTACAACAACAATAACAATATTAAGTTAATTAGTGTTCATGAGCTCAACAAGATGGTGAAAGATCTCCACGAAATAATTGAGATCTCTCAACGTCTTTTAATTTATTGTGACTACAAGCAAAAGTTATACTAATGGTGTTTACATGCGTACATATCGATATTATTATCAAATGTTTTTATAATATAATAATAATAACAACAACGATGATGATGATGAATAGTATTTAGTATTAGTACAGAAATTAGTTAGATTTTCAATTAAACATTTATAGACGTATACATTTGTTTATTTAATTGCAATTTTTTATTATTTTATAAACCTAATATTGGAAACAATATTTACTTTAATATTTGGATCCGGTTCAAGAAATTGATTGACTTTTTGAACATCTAGAATTGTTGTATGCAATGCAATTGAATTTAATAAACACGAAAGATGTTTGGATGTGGAATTCCTTTTGGTCGATTAATTTAATTTCACATATGTGAATTGCAAATTCATATAGATTTCATTTTCACGCACAATAGAGCCATAAAGAAACTATGAAATATTAGATAATTATTTTATTTCTTTACATAATGATTGCTTTGAGCCTCTGTTTATATAGTCGAGGCTATTATTCGTTTTGGTCCAATTCTCTTGGAATCAACTTTTTTGGAAAATCAAGTTTGAATTTTAACTATATGACTGTTTTTTTTTAGCATCATGATATGCTTTAGATTTTTAAATCGCTCGATTTGGTCTATATAAATACTGAAGCAAGCACACAAGTAACAATTTATTTTATTTTGTACTTTTATAGATAATGTGTTAGGGCGGGACGCGTGTATTTCAGCAATAATTGGCATTTCATAGCAACTAGCTAGGCATCGAATTGTTTATATGTCATCTCATGCGATAATAAATTCAAAGCACCTGCACTTTTATTTGAATAGTGATCGTTGTTCAGTAAAGTTTAAAGATGACGATAATGGTTTAGTTAGCATGCAAACGTTGCTAAAAATGTTTAATCATCTCATATTTAAAAAATCCAAAAATCAAGCCTCGCATACTATGTAAAAGTTACTCTACTGTCGGGTAGGAATTAACTTGCCTGTGTATATATCAGACACAGATAGTAGGTAACCAATTGGAATTCAAAAATTTGTTGAAATAAAGCGCATTTTTGTATTTTTAGCTTTTGTCTTTAAAAACACGACAATAATCAATATTATGTGCTGCCTAAACGCGACACGTTTTTGTTGTTTTTACGCTACGTAACCTTCAAAAAAAACCAATAAATAAATATACCTTGCGTGCTAAGTAAAGTTGTTCAACGGTCAAATAGATTAACTAGTCTAATTGTCTTTTAAATAGACAAATAATCAATTTTTACTATTCCTAATTTTGTATGAATTTATTTTCCTTGGGCTTTAATTTATATTTTGTGTATGTTGATCAATATAACCTACTACTGGAGACATGGATATTGATGAAGAGCGTCAACCATATGTCGCATCACCTCACCACCTCCCCCTTATCCTGATGAAATCAAACTTCTACACTCAAACATACTTGATAATATTTGTTTTGTTTGATTGGTATCAAACCAATGCAAATAAATGCCCATAATCCTGCCTTGTGTTTGAAAAATTACAATAACATCACCAATTCACTCACTCATTCAGGTAAAAAACAAATCATTCAATAATCATTGTTAAGCAGAATTTTATTTTTGTTTAAAACAAATAGACATAATCAATAAATATTTATAATATTTTTTGTGAAATTTTTTATGGGTTGTTAATTGTTCTTCACTATAAAATTTACAAAAACTAACTCTATAACATAAACCAAAAAATTGATAAAATAATCAATAAAATAGAGCAAAGAAAAATCAAAATCAAAATCAAAATCAAAATCAAAATCAAACAACTCACTGGTGATAAAAATCTATAAGAGGATACAAGCACCTATTTGATAAAAGACTGAACTGGACTCAAAATTTTCCTTGGTGTTAGTAAAATGGTGATTAAAATCCACAAGTCGTTTAATGTGAATTGTTTCCTCCACCGCAAAAAAATTTCTACCAATGAAAAATGAACCTAGAAGGAAAACAATTTTAATCCTTCCCTTGTGCATGAATAATACGTCGCCGTTATTGCAATACTAAGACCATGTAGAAACAAACCTTTCCTTTAAAGAACCAAGTCACATAATACTCTATGAAAAAAACTGGCAGAGTGGTAATTTCCGTTTCCCTTAAAATGAACGGTCAATCACAAGTGTGTACTGAATAAACCATGGTGATTTCATTGGTCCATTCATTTCCTTATCACCCAAGTGGCAGTGGAAAGATTTTTAGTGACCGAGTCTCTACTTGACTCCCTTTTTTTTGTGCGCGTGTGTACGTGTATTGTGTATTATATGCGCTCTAAATGTTGTGTGTATGTTGTGCATGTTTCTCGATTACATGCAAGCTGTAAAAATCCCCCAAAAAATAAAAAAATAAACCTGATATTGATCACTTTCCTATTATAAACATGCAATCGCACTCTCATAACTATGAAATTTTTTTTCACGGGCGAGGAAATCAACAAGTTGGAAGGCTCTGGACAATAGGGAGAATTTAGCCACTGTCGGAATTGCCGTGGCCAAACAATTTTTTTGTTTTAAAGAGTCATCCCATTGACTTGGATACAGTGATTCACTAGTGGTGGTTAGCCAATGGCCAAAATAATTATTTGTCCATTTTTGGCTATTTTTGTCAGCCAAACGGCCAGACGCTAGCACTGGCTCCAACGGTCTCCATGGCAACGATGAAACTTGAGGGCCGCGCTATCCCCAATTTAATTGCGTCGTCAGGTTAACCTTGCGTAACGAGGAACAAGAGAATGATTGAAATGGTTGAGCCCCAAAGTAATACACTTCAACATCTATCCGATAATCAAACACAAACTTGCATGTTGAGTTGCTTCTTGGTGTTTCCAAATTGTCAAACACATGCGATTTTCCAACAACCTTTCTTACCCCAGACATTTCTTATAATCGTATATCAATGCTTTGGAAGTTAAATTTATAGCGGCTATTACAATACTAGAAATAGAACTTGCCTATAAAATATTTATATAATAATGGAACTTTAATTTGGCAAACAGTATGTTTCATGAAAAAAACTTACATTCAATTGACGCGTATTAATAATACCTTTAAAATATTTAAGTAAAGCTTCAAATATAAGGATATCATCTTGATTCAAGGTCATTTGAGCATTGTTCTAATTGCAGGTTCAAGCTTTAAAAATATATTTATTTTCATTGGAATTAAATCCAAAAAATATATTTTTAATAATGTCAGATGGATGTTTATTAAATGTTTCAAACAAATCGTGATCTTTAAGTTCAAGGTGTTCAATCTGAATCTCAACATAATATTCTTTGGCTAATTCACTTAACTTTATATATATTGATTATAAGCGTGATAATCGATATAAAAACACGGAAAATATAATAATAATAAGTGCGATTATTATTGTTAATATTACTATTATCCATTTTAAATATATATGTACATATGAATAATTTTTTAATCTTAATCTTTAATAAAAATAAAATAAACTGTTCGCCAAGTCGAAACTCATAAGTCTTTGTTGCGTGAACCTTTTGTTTATGGTCTATTGCTAAATTTAAAGAAAAAGTATAAAATTTTCCTTGACCTAACGATATACAGATGCCATTATTTATTTATTATGAGATTTCAAAAAAAAAAAGAATTTGGAGGTTTTTACAAAATTCAAAATGAAAATTTTATTAATATATATAAATTATGAAAATATCTTCCAAAAAAACTTTTTTAATTAAATAATAGATAGCTATAAATCTTCTTCGTCTAAATCTAATTCAATTATTCCTTCATTCCCCTCCTCGTAGTAGTTATTAGCTACAATCTTCGTGTTATCACTTACTGACTCAATGTTTATTTCGTTCTGGTAATAATTCACATAATTTTGATTGCTATCATAAGGATGATTTTTTATAAAATGACTGATGTTGCTTTGACATTTTAATAATTCTAAATATTCAATAATATTTAATAATTCACTGTCATTTCCATCGCAAAATAATTCTCGATTAAATTCTTTTAAATGTATTGCGTTATGAGGCTGTAATTGGGCTTTAAGTGGCGAATCATCTATTAATACTGTATTAGTCTGATCCCATAATATTGACGATGATTGTAGTGATAGCGATGAATGTGGTGGCGGTATAAATGGTGATGGTTTTCTTTCTGAATTTGACGATTGTATCGTATTTTTATTCATAGATGTGTTTAATTCATTCCAAACCATTTCCAAATCTTTTATTGTTAAACATTTAGAATGATATTCTTCATTTGTCAAGTTAAATTTATCTCTAGACCAAATTTCAAGTAACCATTTCCAAAAACTCCTTTCACCGTTTTATATACATTAATTAATTCTATAAGCATCAGTGGAGGTTTCTCAATTCTAATGGAAGGTTCCAACGAGATTTGATTATAATTTTCAGATTGTTTTTTGCTGCCGTTGTTAAATTCCAAAATCTTTTTTTAGTTATGATTTTTGGGTAGTCGTCAAATCCACGTTGTTTTAATATTGATGATGATGGAGATGATGGAGAAAGATTCTGTCTTCTTGTATAATATATAGACAGATATTTGATAGCTGGGAGCCTTGATTTAGGATAAGAATATTTGTTATCACCTTTGGATCTTGAATGTAGTGATGGCAGTCATGTATTATCTTTATAATTCAAAAAGAACATAAATAATTTGTTATCAAAAATTTCACTTCTTTTTTTGTGATAAGAAATCAAATAGGACTATAATACTATCAATTGGCGACATAAAAGGTCTAATATTAATAATTATTTAACAAGTATATTTAGAACAAGTATAGTTTAACAATTCTAATGATACAATTTTGCCCTGTAGGTTTAAAAATAACTAGTGTCAAAGTACACGGTGTTGTTGAATGTATCAACCCACCATGCATTTCACAAAGTCTTGGACTTTCGTTCAGCAACTGCCATTGTTATTGCTGGTGCATCAATATTGCTCTCGA